TTGCGATAAATAAATACTGTCCAGCATAAAGCACAGTTTTAAGTAACAGTCTCACGTGCGCACAGCAGCAGAGTAGTTTCGTTTTAAGTGAAAACAGGGCGGAAAAGCTGGGAGGTTTTAAAAGAGTGCTAAGAATTTGAATTATACAAATTAATATATTAATGAATTAATTATATGAATGTACCTCTGAAGGTTCTAACTGTCTTCAGAAACGATTCGATGGCATTTTGTTTTCATCTTCCCTCCATGTAATACCTAAAGGAAGTGTTCTTAATCGCAATACTGCTTTGTCCACAGAGTTCACGGGAAACAGCTCTAATTCTGCTTTTCCATAAGCGCCACCTGCTGTCAGCGAGTGGATTTACAGAGACTTATATTTATTTACATTCAGCCTGTGTGCAGTTTCTGTCTGGCCAAAAATGGACCGAGTTTGCATGCCCTTCTGTAAATTTTGACCGGTTGATGAAAAACAAGCTTATGTGGATTCTACACATTTAAACAATTCAGATAAGTTATCTAGAATTATTTATGGAGCAGATAAAATACATATAATCATTTATTAATCAATTATCATTTTGACATATCTTTTCTTTATTTAAAGGCTGAAATGTGAGGTTTACCTTTTTTTTTTACTTTTTCAAAGCTTTATTTGAACATTTACATTAGATATTTCAACATGCTATAAACTGTTGTCAGTCAAGTTGTCATTTAAAATCCGAACATCATTGGTAATGTTATTGTTTTAGTGATTATGCAAACAAAAAGTCATTTTATTTGTTGTTTGTTGATTTTTAAATATAAAACTTGGTGAAGTGATTTATGAATCTGTACTTTTTTAACATCTCCAGCACATTTTAACAATACCGTGATAATACTGATTTTTGTCAGTACAATATTTTGGTCACTATAATTGTGATAAGAAATTTTCATACCATTACATCCCTAGTATATACAGTATATATACACACACACACACAACACCATTCAAAAATTGAGTTTTTTTTGTTTTTTTTAAGTCACCTAAACTCACCAAGGCTATATTTATTTGATCAAAAATACCGTAAAAACTAGCTGCACAATGTGGGTGGGGGGGTGGGGGAAGGTTTCCTGATAAAACTTGCAACTGCGATAATAAAATAATAATACAGGTTGTGCTAGTTTACACTATAAAAATAAAAAAGTAATTTGTTTCATATTTGTCTTAAGTTCTATTTTTTTTCAGTTTTTTTTTTTTTTTACAGAAAACCATAGGGAGTAAATTGTGTAATATTATTACAACTTAAGTTTACAACTCAATTGCTTTCTATTTGAATATATTTTAAATGTAATTTATTCCTGTTATGAAAAGGTGAATTTTCAGCATCATTACTCCAGTTTTTAGTGTCACATGATCCTTCAGAAATCATTCTAATATGCTGATTTGCTGCTCAACAAAACTTTTCTTTTTACTATTATTATTTCTTATTAATAGGGATGCTCCGATCAGGATTTTTGCAGCTGGTACGGAGTACCGATTTCTTGTCATGGTGATCGGCTGCTTTGTGTACAGCTGTTACTGGGGAAACCTCTGTTTTGTTCCGTCCTCCACACTGTGACAACTCACAAAAGACTATTTTTAACCAAGCAGCGCGGAGAGCTGCTTTAGAAACGTGCCGTGGCTGACTGATAAACACAAGCACTGACTAGAGCGGCCGCGATCAGCTCTGGTGGCCGTGGAGCCGTAACGCGCCACAGACGTGTGCAGTGAGGAGCAGATCAGCTCTAACGTCACTGAATCTGCTGTGTAGATGAATCATGCAAAACATACACGACAAACAGCAAATTTTTCATTGTTTCTCGAAACGTCATAACATTGCCACACCGCCAAATCATTTATGTCCCCACGCATCATGTACGTTGTCACACGTTGACGTCATCAAATTGCGATCGGTTCCTGAGATTGGCCAAGTTGGTGAGTACCGATTGAGTCATAAAATATGATTATCGGCCGATACCGATCTCCGGGCGATCGATCGGAGCATCCCTACTTATTAATATTGAAAACATTGCTTTATATAAATATATGTCTTTGATGAATAGCAAGTTCAAAAGAGCAGAATTTATTTTAAATAGTAATCTTTTGTAACATCATAAAAGTCTTTACTGTCTCTTTTGATAAATGTAATACAGTCTTGCTCAATAAAAGTAAAAATTAAAATATGGGGTTCTTTTCTTGCATTGATTGAGAAAATGGTATAAAGAGATAAGTATATTGTCAAATATGCTCTGTCTCCTTAACAGTGTAGGTAAAGTCTAAGATTTCTCGGTGTGTCTAACCCCTAAATATGTATACATAATATTTGGTTTTTATTTATTTATTTTATTTTATTTTAATTTTTTTGAGGTGGGGGTCAATTGTTAAATGTCATTTTCTTATGTCATACTTTTATATCTCCGACTGTCATTGTTAAGTGTTATATTAGGTCAGATTTGCTACTTTCAATCGTTTAAATCAAGTTCGGATTGTTTTATTGTGTTCAAAAAAACAAAATAACAATTTTTAAAAATCTTACCGACCACAAACTTCTGAACGGTAGTGTATGGCATAAAATGTTGAATGAACATGCATTGGGTTGCTTACCTCAGTGAGGTGAGGGTTGGGGTTGAATCCGCATTGGTTGCACACCATGGAGCGGCACTGCGTGCATGTATTGCAGTTTGGCTGGCCGTCTGTGGTGCCCGTCAGATCTGCGGTCTTGCACACCGGACAGAGTTTTCTGCTGGGCATGGGTGCGATCTGGGGTAAAGAATAGGGCGAGGTGGGAGCGCTGCTTCCGGGCGAGACGGGGTGTCCACCTTTGCTGCTCCCCACATCCACCTGGAGGTTCTTCCGTGCAGCCTGACCCGGCCCCTGAGGCTGCATTGGTGCTCCGGGACCGGGTCCTGCACCTGGCGGACCCCCAGGTTTGGGTCCCATGCTCGGGTCTGTCTGATTAGGTTTGCCTTGGATACTGTGAAAGGCGGAAAAAAAGACATCAGAGTGTGAATTAAAGCAGAGGTGGTGTGGCATATGTTTGAAATCACTGATAGCTGAACACTTTGTTGAATCCATCTGCCCAGGGAATTCACAGGAGGAGATTTATAGAGCTTTGTGCCGCAGCTTCCTGAGTAGTTTGAATGAGAATAGAAAGATAAATCAATACAGCGGGGCAAACTCTGGGGTGGAAACAGACAGATTGACGAGGACTTTTAATGCTTCTCCAAAAGAATCTGGAAATGTTATCTATGGTGACAGGGGTTTCCTCTTCAGCTAAGCATATTTAATGGTCTTAAATGGTCATTCTTGAACTTTGATATAGAACAGATGCTGCATAGTGGCAAAGTGACAAAATTATGGCTATTATAAATAGATTGGATGTTAATTTAAAAAAAACTGTTGTTATGAATGAATTATCATTAGTGGTGCTTATGAAGACAACCATTGCTACTATTGCTCTTACTTATGGTTAGAGACGTTCAAAGCCACTGACCCTTAATAATAACAATAAAAACATCTATTCACTGAGAATTTATTATTATTATTATTATTATTATTATTATTATTATTATTATTATTATTATTATTATTATTATTATTATTATTATTATTATTATTATTATTATTATTATTATTATTATTATTATTATTATTATTATTATTATTATTATTATTATTATTATTATTATTATTATTATTATTATTATTACTACAATAACATAATAATTTGTATAATAATAATATATTGTTATTATTATAATAAAAATTGTAAAATATAATAATAATAATAATAATAATAATAATAAAAGTCTTTACTGTCTCTTTTGATAAATGTAATACAGTCTTGCTCAATAAAAGTAAAAATTAAAATATGGGGTTCTTTTCTTGCATTGATTGAGAAAATGGTATAAAGAGATAAGTATATTGTCAAATATGCTCTGTCTCCTTAACAGTGTAGGTAAAGTCTAAGATTTCTCGGTGTGTCTAACCCCTAAATATGTATACATAATATTTGGTTTTTATTTATTTATTTTATTTTATTTTAATTTTTTTGAGGTGGGGGTCAATTGTTAAATGTCATTTTCTTATGTCATACTTTTATATCTCCGACTGTCATTGTTAAGTGTTATATTAGGTCAGATTTGCTACTTTCAATCGTTTAAATCAAGTTCAGATTGTTTTACTGTGTTCAAAAAAACAAAATAACAATTTTTTAAAATCTTACCGACCACAAACTTCTGAACGGTAGTGTATAGCATAAAATGTTGAATGAACATGCATTGGGTTGCTTACCTCAGTGAGGTGAGGGTTGGGGTTGAATCCGCATTGGTTGCACACCATGGAGCGGCACTGCGTGCATGTATTGCAGTTTGGCTGGCCGTCTGTGGTGCCCGTCAGATCTGCGGTCTTGCACACCGGACAGAGTTTTCTGCTGGGCATGGGTGCGATCTGGGGTAAAGAATAGGGCGAGGTGGGAGCGCTGCTTCCGGGCGAGACGGGGTGTCCACCTTTGCTGCTCCCCACATCCACCTGGAGGTTCTTCCGTGCAGCCTGACCCGGCCCCTGAGGCTGCATTGGTGCTCCGGGACCGGGTCCTGCACCTGGCGGACCCCCAGGTTTGGGTCCCATGCTCGGGTCTGTCTGATTAGGTTTGCCTTGGATACTGTGAAAGGCGGAAAAAAAGACATCAGAGTGTGAATTAAAGCAGAGGTGGTGTGGCATATGTTTGAAATCACTGATAGCTGAACACTTTGTTGAATCCATCTGCCCAGGGAATTCACAGGAGGAGATTTATAGAGCTTTGTGCCGCAGCTTCCTGAGTAGTTTGAATGAGAATAGAAAGATAAATCAATACAGCGGGGCAAATTCTGAGGGTGGAAAGATTGACGAGGACTTTTCACAATTCTCCAAAAGAATCTGAAAATATTATCTGCGGTGACAGGGGTTTCCTCTTCAGATAAGCATATTTAATTGTCTGAAATGGTCATTCTTGAACTTTGACCTAGAACAGAAGCTGCTTAGTGGCAAAGTGGCAAAATTATGGCTATTATAAATGGATCGGACGTTAATTAAAAAAAACTGACAGTTGTTATGAATGAATTACCATTAGTAGTGCTAATGAAGGCAAGCATTGCTGCTGTTGCTTAGACATATGTTTAGAGACTTTCAAAGCCACCAACACTTAATAACAATAAAAAGTATTAATTACTATTATTACTACATTAATAATATAATATAGTATTGTAATAATTTATATAATAATAATCATTGTCATATATTATTATTATTATTATTATTATTATTATTAATATAAATATATTGTTAATAATATTATAAACCATAATAAAAAATAATAATAATAACAACAACAACAATAATAAAGCATGTTATGTTTTTACAGTATATTGTTATTAAGATAATAAAATATAGTTTTGTATATTATATTTGTCACAAATCTGGTTCGTGGCCTTCCGGCCGATTGCCACTAAAGGTCATTCTACCATTACATTGACTCTCACACTACACAGAACAGACTGTTACATGTCACTCCGGACTACAGTTCCCATCATCCATTGCACTTACACATCTGAATTCACTGATCACACAGCCGTCACTAATCACACGCTCACCTGAGAGCCATTACACACTCTATTTAACACTCTCTCAGTTCCAGTTAGTGATGGGAAGTTCGGATCATTTTACTCGGACCTTTGAGTCTCGTTCAGCATAATGAACTAATCTTTTTTCGAGTCATTTCGTTCATTTTAGCAAAATATAATTAAAATGTTACATGTTACTTCCCTAATACGTCTACTACTTACGCAAACGTTGATCAGAATCAGAATCAGAATCAGAATCAGAATCAGAATCAGCATCATTACTCCAGTCTTCAGTGTCACATGATCCTTCAGAAATCATTCTAATATGCTGATTTGCTGCTCAATTATTTATTTAAAACATTGCTTATTATACATTTTGTACATGTTCAAAAGAACAGCATTTGAAAGAGAAATTTCTTTTAACATTTTAAATGTCTTTTCTGTCACTTTTGATCAATTTAATGCAATCTTGCTCAATAAAACTATTTCTTTATAGAAAAATCTTACTGATGACAAACTTTTAACCGGTGCTATACAACATAAAAAGTAGAACGAGCATGCATTGGGCTGCTTACCTCAGTGAGATGAGGGTTGGGGTTGAATCCGCATTGGTTGCACACCATGGAGCGGCACTGCGTGCATGTATTGCAGTTTGGCTGGCCGTCTGTGGTGCCCGTCAGATCTGCGGTCTTGCACACCGGACAGAGTTTTCTGCTGGGCATGGGTGCGATCTGGGGTAAAGAATAGGGCGAGGTGGGAGCGCTGCTTCCGGGCGAGACGGGGTGTCCACCTTTGCTGCTCCCCACATCCACCTGGAGGTTCTTCCGTGCAGCCTGACCCGGCCCCTGAGGCTGCATTGGTGCTCCGGGACCGGGTCCTGCACCTGGCGGACCCCCAGGTTTGGGTCCCATGCTCGGGTCTGTCTGATTAGGTTTGCCTTGGATACTGTGAAAGGCGGAAAAAAAGACATCAGAGTGTGAATTAAAGCAGAGGTGGTGTGGCATATGTTTGAAATCACTGATAGCTGAACACTTTGTTGAATCCATCTGCCCAGGGAATTCACAGGAGGAGATTTATAGAGCTTTGTGCCGCAGCTTCCTGAGTAGTTTGAATGAGAATAGAAAGATAAATCAATACAGCGGGGCAAATTCTGAGGGTGGAAAGATTGACGAGGACTTTTCACAATTCTCCAAAAGAATCTGAAAATATTATCTGCGGTGACAGGGGTTTCCTCTTCAGATAAGCATATTTAATTGTCTGAAATGGTCATTCTTGAACTTTGACCTAGAACAGAAGCTGCTTAGTGGCAAAGTGGCAAAATTATGGCTATTATAAATGGATCGGACGTTAATTAAAAAAAACTGACAGTTGTTATGAATGAATTACCATTAGTAGTGCTAATGAAGGCAAGCATTGCTGCTGTTGCTTAGACATATGTTTAGAGACTTTCAAAGCCACCAACACTTAATTACAATAAAAAGTATTAATTACTATTATTACTACATTAATAATATAATATAGTATTGTAATAATTTATATAATAATAATCATTGTCATATATTATTATTATTATTATTATTATTATTATTATTATTATTATTATTATTATTATTATTATTATTATTATTATTATTATTATTATTATTATTATTATTATTATTATTATTATTATTATTATTATTATTATTATTATTATTATTATTATTATTATTATTAATATAAATATATTGTTAATAATATTATAAACCATAATAAAAATAATAATAATAATAACAACAACAATAATAAAGCATGTTATGTTTTTACAGTATATTGTTATTAAGATAATAAAATATAGTTTTGTATATTATATTTGTCACAAATCCGGTTCGTGGCCTTCCGGCCGATTGCCACTAAAGGTCATTCTACCATTACATTGACTCTCACACTACACAGAACAGACTGTTACATGTCACTCCGGACTACAGTTCCCATCATCCATTGCACTTACACATCTGAATTCACTGATCACACAGCCGTCACTAATCACACGCTCACCTGAGAGCCATTACACACTCTATTTAACGCTCTCTCAGTTCCAGTTAGTGATGGGAAGTTCGGATCATTTTACTCGGACCTTTGAGTCTCGTTCAGCATAATGAACTAATCTTTTTTCGAGTCATTTCGTTCATTTTAGCAAAATATAATTAAAATGTTACATGTTACTTCCCTAATACGTCTACTACTTACGCAAACGTTGATCAGAATCAGAATCAGAATCAGAATCAGATTATTTTGCCAGGTATGTTTACACATACGAGGAATTTGTTTTCATGACAGAAGC